GAAGAAGAAGAAGAAGAAGAAGAAAAACAACAACAACAACAACAACAACAACAACAACAACAACAACAACAACAACACAACACCACAACCACCACCAACAACACAACACCAGCACCGCCACCCCAACAACAATAACAACAACAAAACTGCATAACATGTCGTTTCCTGATTGTTTTAGCAACAACAACAACAATTACATCAACATCAACATCAACAACCACAACCACACCACCACCACCACCAACAAAACTCCCGTGGTACCCTGCATGAGATCGAGCTGCTGTTCCAAGAAGCATGTGTCCACCCCACTGAGCAAAGACAGACTGTCCGGTCCCTGGGGAGTGACCCACACAACAGGCGCTGTCTGCTGTTGTGGCTGGGCCAGGCCAAAGTTGGGGACCCCGCCCTGGACGTAATCATAAGGGGGCGGGGCGGTGGAAGGGAGCACTGGGTCAGGGCCTGGAAAAATATGTTTCGAGTATAGCTTTACGGCACTTGTAACACAATAAGGTCACATAATACTGGTCAAAGATTAGAGGTGTTGCAACTACAAGATTATTTTTGTATTAACGAGAGTTTTACGACACTTGTAACACAATAAGGTCATATAATAATGACCAAAGATTAGAGGTGTTACAAGACATTTGGTCGCTATTAAGGAGAAACAGGCTAACCCAGATTTCGGTGGTTTCCAGAAATCTTGACCTACACCAAAAGTGGGCTGCGCCCTACCTATCATAATAGGAGAAGTTTGGTTTTATTGGTGTGCATATTTGTTTGGTTATAGAGAAAACTCTCCTTCTCTTTTTAAGAAACTGAATAAGGGGCAAAACTTTACCTTCGATTTTCTCAAAACAGTATTTATTTTCGGGATAGCCCCCTTGTGCTTAAAAGCGACCATTTTAGTTTCAGTAAGAGTGGAGGTGTCATCTCTGACTCAGATGTTGAGGGTCATTACACGTCAACTTTCTGAGTCAGAGATGACACCTCCAGGTATCCAGGTATCCATTTATCCAGATAAGAAAGAGTTTTAAGGCATTTGCAGCACAATAATAATATTATGCCCATTTAAGTGAGGAAGATTAGAGGTGTTACAAAATATTTTAGTTTAAATGAGAGTTTTACGGCACTTGCAGCACAATAAGATCATATAAGTGCCGAAGATTAGTGGTGTTCCTTGAGAGTAACACACACAAAGAAGAAGACGAGATAAGGACGATAGATGTTTGATAGGAAAGAAAGAGCAAGCCACACCAGACCACATGCCGACCACCTACTGCATCTGGAGCCCCCACATTTTCCTTTTGTCGTAGTCTATCAATGACCAAACTAATTTATTGCATTTTCTTAATCTGTGGTACCGGCTGCGTGTGCTGAAGACATATTTTGTCGAGTTTTCTAAATGTTGGTCTTTAGAAAAAAAAAATCAATTAATCAAATCTAATATTACGACAGAGTGCAGGTGTACTTGTTAAATTAATTTACACGTAGTGTTTTTTACTCTCCTCGTTATTATTATTTTGATGATGATGATGATGATGATGATGATGATGATGATGATGATGATGATGATGATGATGATGATGATGATGACGATTACTGTAGCTATTGTTGTTGTTGTTGCTGCTGCTGCTGCTGCTGCTGATGATGATGATGATGATGATAATGCTGCTGCTGCTGCTGCTGCTGCTGCTGCTGCTGCTGCTGCTGATGATGATGATGATGATGATGATGATGATGATGATGATGATGATGAGGATGATGATGATGATGATGATGATATTCCATTAATGAACTGTTTAAAAACCAACCGGGATGGACAGTTGCCATGCTTGCCTTGTCACTGGAGCTGAAGAGTCCCTGGAGACGAAGAAGAAATATATGATTTACTTGTTTTATAGGTACCCCAAAACGCTTACCAAAAACAAAACAACAAAAAAAAAAACCAACAACAACAACTACAACAAACAACGGCAGACTCGTTACATGGCAAACAGCCTAAGTATGAAACACTACAATATACTTGGTCACACTCTCTTGAATCGATTTCAGAATTAAACTGGGGGGCTCTCGTGGTCTAGAGGTTAAGGTGTTGGCCTCTAATTCAAAGGCCCCGGGTTAGAATCCGGGTAGCGACCGAAAAAAAATTATTCTCTTGAATTGCCTCCTTTCACATTTTCCTGCTCTCTAGCAATGTTCTGTCGTCTTCTTTCGTCGCCACTTTCTGCCCCCAACCCATCACCTCCTTTGCCCCCTCCTCTGGACTCCTAACTCTTTCTGCAGCCTTTCTACTGCTACTTCTTGCAGGTACCAAAACAAATCTAACCTATTATTATCTTTTTTTAAAGGAACCACGAACAAATAAACTAAAGACTGGTTACATGACAAACAGAATAAGTATGAAACATTACAATATACTTGGGCACATTCTCTCGTCTCGATTTCAGAATCTAACCTATTAATATTTTTTTAAAGCAGCCACAAACAAATAAACTAAAGACTGGAACCATGGCAAAAGGATAAGTATGAAACATTACAATATACTTGGGCACACTCTCTCGTCTCGATTTCAGAATCTAACCTATTGATATCTTTTTTTTTAAAGCAGCCACGATGGGTGTTATTTTACTCAGGTGTCGCCCCCATTGATTTATCGGGTAGCTGTACCGAAAGCCACGAAACAAACCCACCGTTGTCTCTCGAGTGACACACGATCTGCTCGACACACACACGAGAGTTCAGTTTTTCTCCGACCCACTATTCTTGACGTCCACAGAAGTAGGACAAAGGACAGACACTGCAATACTAGCAAATTTACCATGACATGATCCGTGGTTAAATTTTTTTAATGAGGTAGAGTGGAGCAGTGCTTGCCAATCATTTTCATGACCAGTACCGAATTTTGCCGTCTTTTAACCCTCTCCGTACGTCGTGTTTTACTATCGTATTCATACGACGTGGGGAACTCTGTGCCACCACTTTCCAAAGAGGAAACTTACTCGTTAATCCGATCCGTACGCTTTGCATAGCAGTCTGTCAAACCGATTTTTTGAGAAATACTGAAAGACTCAAAGAGATCTTCGTACTAGAAGTATTCTAAAATATGAAAAATACAACCCTGGGGGTACAAAATTGCCCCAGGGCGTACGGATCGGGTGAAGAGGCTAAAATTTCCCGTACCGCCAGCCTACATTATGTAGTACGACATGTATTTCAGGAAGGGCACACAATAACACTTTTTTTCATTTCAACTTTGGTGATACTCATCGCTTATATCAGAATTTGCTAAATCGCCCACATATTAAAGCTCTCCAAACGAGGTACTGAGCAGATAGAATGTTCTCAAATCTGAGGTAACGATTTGTCTGTCTACGTGTTCAAAGAGTTAACCGGAAAAAAAATATAAATCTGAGGTAGCGATTTGTTCAAAGAGATAACAGGAAAAGAATATAATATCCACAAAGGTCTAATCCTTAACTCACCAAATATTTTTTTTAATGAAGGTTTGTGTAACTCTTTGGGGAAGAAGCAGACCCATTTGTCCGACCAACTGCAGACCAAAGGCAAAGTTGCTGGACATTTTGAAACATTATACACACATCGAGCATAATTATGAATTTGCATATATTACAGCATTCTTGTTCCTGCCTTCTTTTTCAAAGCTTCACATAAAGAAAACTGAATTTCTAAAGTCTGAAAGAAAAGGGACGTTAAGCCTGTTTGTTTTTTTCAAAGTACTGTAACCAAAACAGTGCGTCCCTGAAGAATTAAGCCACTGTCGACAAAATTAAAATCACCTAGATGGCGGACTTCGACTCTGTGAGCTCAAGAGGGTCCAGTCCGAGAATCGAACCAAGATCATCCGCTCAGTTGTTCAGCATGGTATCAACAAAGAAACCACTGCGCACTTTGTCGTTTTCCTTGTTCTGTGCCGTTACCCGAGACAGAGGAATTCTTTCGTCCACCGAGTATCCCGTTACTGTTGGTAGTCTACCTGGAAGTGCCCTCCTCCCC